TAAGCTACAGCGTCAGATATATAAGGAACAGATCTTGCCCAATTCTATTTTGCCTGGAGTTTTCTCCAGGCAAATAACTTAAATAAGAGGTGAAGGGACGACAATTCTATCACTATTTGGATAAGTGGACAATTTACCTCATAGGAGATAGGCAAAATAAGATTGTGGAAAATTGCCAAATAATCGCTGTCCGTCATTCCAGTCTAAGAAAAAATGGATAAAGAGGAATATAAGACGATATAAAAAATTATAATTTGTTAAACATCACTGCGGAAGAGCACTTAAAAGTTCGTTTATTAAAAGCAAGTAATGCATAATAAAGCAAGTGAGTCATAAAAATGACATTTTAACATATATTTCACATAGCCAAAATAAAAATGAAATTTGTAGTTAGCAGACAATTAAGAGTGTGATTATTGAGTAACCCAGATTCCCATTCAAGAGTACACAAGCAAAAGAAATTGTATGAAACAACAATAGAAATAGGAGTAAGAGCACAAAAAATTCGACCACCTGATTGAGAGGAATATTTACGTTGAACCCGGCTGCCGCACCAGTGCCAGTGAAATCATAATCTGACTCTCGAAGATTAGGCCAAAATTTGCCCGTTTCAAATCGATGAATAGAGATAAAAAGAACGCTGGCCCACAACGTAAGTCAAAATATACAAAATGAAAAAGAAAACAAATATTTAGTAAGATTTAAATCAGCCGAAGGGATAGAAATTAATCTTTCATGATAAGTATATTTCCGAGACTACTAGCTAATGTATTCAACCTATTTCGTTAGCGTGATGCAGGACTGGTAGTTAGATTTTCCAACAGCGAAATGAGTAGACCCTACATATCCATTGAATTTCACATCGTCTTGCTTCCCAAAAGATATTCTCATCTAGACAAGGTTAGACTCCAGTTTCGACCTCACCTAGATCACATAAGCACTCCCAGCAGGACTCTAACCGCAAAGGATGTACATAGCCGTGAACCGTATAATCTTAACAACTTAACCACTACGCGACACTGCCACGAGTGTTTGTGGGTCATAGGGCAGATGTGAATTTCAAGGAAGGCCAAGCATGATCTACTGATAATTTTGAAAACCTACTTATAAATGAAAAATAAGTAATGTAATCGATTGCAATGGCAAACACAACTTCATTTATCGCCAATCGCACCTGAGTGTAATTGCAGTCCACCCCTGTCTAGATAAGAATAACTTTTGAGGAGCGAGGCTATGCGAAATTAAATGGAAGCATAAGACTTACTTATATCATTTTGTGTAAATTCAACTATCAGTCCTTCATTACCTTAACGAAATACGGCGAATACCTCTAATATGGATACAAATAAAGTCGACAAGAGGAGGAAAATTAGTCGTTCATAAGCAAACTATAGTGCATCGAAATTGAAAAAAAGGTTAGCGTAAATAAAAAATAATATATTTTAGTTTGGTAGAGGAATGACTAAAGCAATCTTATTAGTGTTTTGATCTGCAGGATTATAAAAAATTATTATTTCGTCGCTTGCGAACTAAAGAATAAATAAAGGTTTCTTTAATCATATCATTCGATTTTGAATTTTAGTTTAGATTAAGCCGAATGGATATGTCTTAACTAAGCTCATAATTCACAAACTTTTTGCTGTTGAAAACGAAATCGTATGGAAAATTTTATCTATGAATTTAACGTTTAAACGATTGATTATTAAAAGTTAAGCCGTTTGCAAGCAATAGATAAAAATTAACATCTATCATGTCAATATATAGCCGGATAATTAGCTAATATTCTATTCGCCAAAAATATGGGCCGATAATCAATTTGGCATTCGGCTCTTGGCATAGGAGGCAGGTGGTCCCGTAGAATAAAATAGCTCCTATATCATGATCCAATTTGGAACTAAAATAAGGACGTACAGCAATCATATTAAATTCCGTTTTGTAAACTTTAAGCAAAAGAAAATAATGAATAAACGAGTATGCAACTAAGAATGATAGTGCAAAATTTGCTTAAAGATAAATAGGTATGGTATAAAAATAAAAAAATTCCATGCATAAAATAGCAACTCACCGATTATCATCATAGAAGGCATATTGCGTGCCTTGGCCATGATGCACATCCCAATCGACAATTAAAATCCGTTCTAACCAGCCAGTGCCCGTAGATCTCTGCTTTTGACCAATAAACCTGGGAACCCTATCTGCAGAGGTGTTGGCTTTGGTTAAGTGGTACACATTTCGGCTATAAGTTGACTGCGGAATAAGAGGGGGACGTTCACTTGAAGAAAGATGCCCAGAGCCAAGACTGGAGTCAGAAGTCGGATTTGGAACTGAAAACGTGCCTGTAACACTGCTGACAGTAGGGAATGCAACTGCTGATTCATAATGTGTTGTCTGGGGTGGTAGTTGAAATACAGAGGTAATAGACATGCTGTTGTAACCTACTTGATCACTGTCTAATATTAGCCTGTCTGGGTTGATTGGTGAAATAGCGGAAGAGACTAATCGTGGAGCCAAAAGTGATAGTGCAGCTATGGCAACGTTGTTGAAAATACAGTAACCACAGGCTTCAGACCGCATAGCATGATGGCCTGGGGGTCGCACCACTAGGAAGGCATTGGCCAACCTGCCTTTAGCAACCAGATGAGATGCATGGATCACGCTGCCAGCAGCCAGGCTGGCGGATGACCATGTATGCTATATGACAGGCAGAGGAGTATTATATATTCAGATTAAAGGTCACAAAGTCAATCGTAGGTATAAAGAAAAATTATAATTCGGATCAAAATAAGTCAGAAAGGAGACAAAGTTTTTTTTGCCAGTAAAATGGATGGAGGTGTAATAAGTAAAAATACAGTGAAGGTATAAATTAGCAGAAAAATATTCTAAGAGCCAGAGTAGATAGTTAAATTCAATGAGGACTGCGATTTTAAACGTGAATTGAGGTCTATAAAGTCCATCAAGAGGACAGGATGATTAAGAAAGAGAGGAATGAAGTAAGAATGTATTGAATAAGAATAAAGTGAGAACGAAAGTGAATAAGATTCAGAACATAAATGTGCGTATAAGTAAGCTAACATTTAATTATATGAATATAAGAGAGTCGAAATGAGATATGAAGTGACGAAAAAAACGTGAAATTATCAAATGATTATGTCCTAATGATTAGGATATAAATAATCGATCAAATAAATTCAATCAAGTAAAGATATTTTAAATGGCCAAAGTAAAAACACATCCGTTGAACCCTGTGCTTTACATCTGATTGCATCTAAATATTTTGGAAAAAAAATAAACAAGGAATTTTGTGCTAATGAGTTAAATCAAAACTTGATAAATTTGTCGAAGAGATTTGACAATATTACCTATCAGCTAAAGCAGGGGGGCTAGCAAACTTAGCTAGCTGGAAGGTGAATAATTCCAATTTACAGAGGTTGTTTGACCCTGTTTTCACAACTTGGTCATATTGGTAGGAAGACTTAGAGGAACGAACATAGTGTGGAGTCCATTGTATGCGTGATAATTTCCGAAGTCGGACCGTGGACGGTGTACATTCCAAAATGTTTCGCTGGCATCGGAGTCGGCATCTTTAGTGAGTCTTGCCATTCTTAGGACGACACTACAACTCGTCAGAGACAAGTGAGGCCGAACCTCTGACCAAACGTGCGCTAAACACTTGTGGTACCTCTCTTGCCCTGGGCTAGTCACATTTCCTATATCCTCATATCACGCCTTCACTGATACAATTTTTTAAAGTGCTTATTTAGATGTAGTGTGGTGTGCCCTTTTAAGCGGCGTTCATGAGAACCCTTCACGCTGGCGTTTTCACCCCCCTTCACCCTTGTGCTGGGAATGTTGATCAGAGTCTGCCATATTGTTACGCAGTTCTTCTTCCTTAGGCCTTATCAGAATCCCCCTCTTGCACCGTATAATCCGTCTGCTAACGCCCTGGTTCAAGTAATTCACTCGACCTCTGCCACCCCATCTGTTACTTGAGGCGTTATTTTCCACACTCTGCGTCTAAGTGACTAATTAGAAGCTAAAGCCTCTGAGTAAGTCTCAAGGTCAAGCCTTTGCTATATGGAGCATTGTCAGCCAACTAGCTCAGGGCAGAAGAAGAGATACCACAAGTGTTTAGCACACGTTTGGTCAAAGGATCGGCTTCACTTGTCTCTGACGCGCTGTAGTGTGATGCCAAGAGTGGCAAGACTCACTGGAGATCCCGACCACGATGCCAGCGAAACATTTGGAAATGTAACACGTCGACTGTCCGACTCTGTAGACTATCATGCATACAATGGACTCCGGACTAGGTGCGTTCCTCTAAATCTTCCTACCAATATGACCAAGTTGC